CCCCACCCACACACACACACACACACACACACACACACACACACACACACACACACACACACACACACACACACACACACACACACACACACACACACACTTAACAGACCCACCTATGGCATTCTGTCAACATTCCGCTGTTTATCTGAACAGACCAGAACCGCAATTGCGAGGAGTCAGTCTGCTGCAGGTGAGTCAGTGCTGACGAACCAGTGAGCTAAGTGCGACACCTAGTGGTGATATCGTCATTTTCAAATGCTGTCGACCTTGAGAAATGATCCAATTTCAACATGAAGCGAGAAGCAGAACAAGGAAAGAGACTTGGACAGTAAGGCCTTTGTATCAATCTTGCGAAGCTATGTGTTTAACTCAACAGGCGAGGATTGTTCACTCACTAAATGAAGACAAGATTAGCATTCTTTCAGTGGACAATATATAATAATTTGTAGCAATTTGGATTGGTGGTGTGTCGGAGGACTTTTACACATTGGACTTGTCACACATTGAAATACTGGAATACAAAGTGGCAGAGGTGCGGGCATACGCAGTCGGCGCGCTGTAACTTGTAGCGGTCACGGCGGAAGGCAAACAGGAGGTTCGCGGAATAAAAGTTTGTAAGCGTCATAAACGGCGCATTCATGACGCACAAGTCGACGCGGTGTGTCATACTTACTTGATGATTTGCCAGTCTACAGTGTGTGTAAGAGGGGAACTCCGTCTGGCGCTGAACGCACGACTGCGGCAATCTGGCCGGGTACACTGCCAGGCAACACACACAAGTGAGACCCTTCCGACGCCAACGTATTCCTCGGCGTGCGCGCGCCCCCTACCTTGGCGGGCGTGGCGTACTTGCCGTGGTGCAGCGGCAGCGAGAGCGTACTGGAGCACGACAGGCACTGGAAGGCCAGCCTGGTGCATCGAGGCCGGATGTTGCTCACCCGGACCACCGTGCCCCTCACGCACACCAGGCAGCCGAACACGCTGGCGCGCAGCGTGCGGAGCGGAGTCAGCGGCTCGTAGTTGTACAGCCTGTATATATAAGTCGCGCTTACAGCGGGTATCGAGAATCTACACACCCTTGGTCAAATGCCAGGTTTCTGCGATATAAAATAATGAAAGCCAGAGAAATCCTTTGAAAAAGCTTTTTTTTTTTCGCCGTCGTGACCTACATCCTGTATGAGTCAAATGTAAAAAAAACAAACAAACAAAAAAAATCCCCTCAAAAAGAGAAATCTTATCGGGATGAAGTAAAAGTAAACAACTGAGAAAAGGCCATTGCACAAGTGTGCACACCCCTTCATAAGTTGCAGCTAGCTGTGTTCAGAATGAATCAAACACATTCACACTCGGGGTGTCTCCCATAAAGCGGTCTTTCTTTGCAATTGAGATGTACAGGTTCAATGTCACAATGGTCTTGTATTGGTCTCATCTTTTTATATTTCATAAAAACGCCAATTTGAACAGGGGTGCAGTTTTCTTAAATTCACAGTGGACCTCGAATGTAAACAAACGTGAGCTTTGCTGCCGGATACCTTGCACTGATGCGAGGGATGCTAATAATTGGCGCGGCGACGGGCAGCTCGTCGCCGGGCAGCTCGGCGGCCTGTTTCTCCAAGTCCACAGTTAACACCTGTTTCACAACGAGAGGAGGCTGCCTTCAAAAAAAAAATAAAATAAACATGACGCCTGCGGCTACCTCTATAGAAATGTTTCAATCTCGATTTATTTCTAATCTCTCGCATTTGGTTAAGTCGCACCTAGTATGCAACTCGTCTCGTGTCTGGCCTCACACACTAGCGTCTACATTATGGCCTGTTTTAGTGCCGCTTCCTCTTACATGGCCGAGGCGCTCATAGGTTTGTCAAGCAAAAAAATAAATAAATAAACAAGTTAAGAGTTAATGTTCTCTGTGACTCTCTATTTATGGCCGATAAATATTCGACTTTTGCAGACATGATCTGCATTCCTATTCAACAAGGTGCAATTCAATGACGATCAATAGTCACTCATATTTGGCCAGAATTCTTCTCATTCAACAGTGAACTCAGATAGAAATACTGTCCCATACAGTATTAAGAAGTAATCATTCAACCCGCCCATCCGTGCATGTGTGTTGTACCTGGTGAATGGCCACTCCCAAACAGTTGAAGATCATCTCCGGTTGGTCCTTCAACTCTGCAGTCAGGGCAGGAAGCGCGGCTAGCACCGTCTCGTTTGTGGTCAGGTCCGCGTAGTCCACCAGTACGCTGCCCTGACGCTCGATCTCGTCCTGTAACGCACAGCAAGTCACCACCGCAGTCCACCACATCGCGTCAGAAACACAACCCGACCTTGTCGTAGAGGTCAATCTTGGAGGTGAAATACTTCTCAAACACTTTGATTTTCTCCACGCTTGGCGAGCTCTCGATGAAACCTGCCGAAAGAAAAGTCTGATTGTCATGTGTGAATCTTATCATCGCTAGGCCTAATCTTCATTAATATACCGTCAGTGAAGTACAGCGACCATCCTTTGTAAGGGCACAGCACATCCAGAGTGGCCTGATGGAGGACTGAAAAGGCAATTTGCATTAAAATTGGACTCTTGTTAGTGGGGTTAAATTTAGAAGCAGCTATCTCTGCCGGTGCTTTTTTTCTTTTAACTTCCCCTGAACATTTTTAGTTGAGAGAATGTTGGTATTTTTTGTTCAATGAATATAGCGCTATTGTATTTGTTTTTTGTTTAGTCCCAACATTTTATGAGTTAAATTACAAAGTCAAGGTGTGATGGTGTGACGAGAGTCCTAAGTGTAGATAATTAGAGGCAGTCAAAACGTTTGAATTTATGTAACTGAAGTAGTTATTTGTAGCAAGGGCGGGTTCAAGACAGAACACTGGAGCAAAAAATGTAAGTGTCTCTGCCTCCGATAGTGAGCTCATTTCTCAACAGCAGGAGTTCTTGTTTTTTCCAAAGCAAATTGAATAAACTCACCCCTGTGTGTGCCAGAGCCGTGACTTGCCGATGCTCTGTTATCACATCCAGCCTTCCCACCGTGTGGTCCTCCTCCTCCACGTCCATTACCTGAACCCCCTCTCCAAGGTCGACCCCTCCACCCTCCTCTCCATCCCCAATTGCCTCCTCCTCTCCTTCCTCCTCCATTTCCTCTCCAACCATCATTTCCACCCCGCCATGTCCCTCTTATTCGGTCCTGTCCACTCATTCCTGGGCAAAAAAAACAGGAGATGTTTAAGGTTTTTCTAATATAGCTGTAACAGTTTGTTAGAGAGTGTACGCCGCTCCATCATGGGGTTTTCGGGTAGTGACCCTGCTATGCTCAGATTTTGTAAAAACATTTATTTCTGTGGAAGTTGATGCAAGTTAATCCTAGGGAAAACGTTTCGAAGCTTGGTATGAGGACAAACAAGGCAAAACATGTTCATGACATGTTAAACGAATGTAGGACCGCTCGCCTCGACTGTGTTTAAGAATTAGCGAGATGAGGACAACTGAACCCCTTGTAACACGAGTATACAAGTACAGCACTTTTAGTGTTGCACATTTCGGACGTCACGGTTTTTAGGGCGGCTTAAATTATAACTAGCTCACTTCTCGATAGAAAACGTGGTACATTAAACACTGTTGAAATGTTAACAACTGTAAGTAAAACAGCCACAGAATGAGAAAAAGCGAACGTTACCGATGACATTTCGATGTTCCCACTCGACGAGGTGTCAAAATTTCCCGCCCCACGGTCGGGGCTTCTTCTTCGCCTCATTTCGGCGGTGATTCGATTTCCCCGATTGACTACTGACACTTAGAGGACAGATGTAGCACTGCAGTTGAAAACAGACAGCTTCGTGCCTCCTCATTGGGGTATTTTTAATGTTTCAAATGTTACGATGCGTTTTTATTTATAAAGCGAATTTAAAATGAAAAAGGGCGATTATATTTGCATTGACATGTTCAGTGTGTGGGCACTGTGAGCGACTGGTTAGCACGTCCGCCTCACAATGCAGGTGTACATACAGTGTTTGATTCCTGACGATGCGTTTTTATTTATAAAGCGAATTTAAAATTAAAGAAGGCAATTATATTTGCATTTACATGTTCAGTGTGTGGGCACTGTAGCGACTGGTTAGCACGTCCGCCTCACAATGCAGGGGTACAGTGTTCGATTCCTGCTCCGGTCTCATGCGTGGCGTTTGCAGATTCTCCGCGTGCCTGCGTGTCTTTTTTCCGGGTCCTCTGGAAGGCCGGGGCCGGAATCAAACGTCAAACCTGTTCACTGTGAGGTGGACGTGCTACCAGCCGCCAGCCCTCGTACCACCCATGGTAATCGCCGCATTAGCTTCATGTTTTAACATTGGAAATAGATCAATAGAAAAATAAACTCTAACGACGTTCAAGTGTGCATGTATGCCCACATTATACTGCATTATAGAACATACAACTAATACACGCATTCAGATACAGATGTAATGGTGATGCATACAAAAAAGTATCAACTACTAAGTATATTAACACCAAATGGGAAGTGATGTTGATGATGACTAACAGCATTTTGCACCACCGAAGATATTTTCTCTGCACGCTGCGTGCAGAATTTCGCAATAAAAAAGGCAGCAGGTGACGGGTGTACGGTGACAAATGTAAGATCGGAACGTTTACTGTAGTAACTTTTGTCATAGTATGCTTTTCCAACGTGCACCAATACAAGAGTTATATGCAGTAATACATTTGTAATAACGATTGTAATACACGAAGGAACGGTTTTGTTTGGATCATGTCCCTACGGCCACCGCATGGACATCCATACATTTGGGAGTGTTTGTGATTCATCGTCACTGTTGCTTCCGATCATTTCGTTGCAAATTCGCAGCCTACGTGCAAAACGTGAGGTTCGTGTGACGCCTGCTGTTGACCTCCCACAAGCTTGTTATTGGGCAACTTTGGCAAAGGGAAAGGGGGAGCTAAAGTTTTGTTTCATTTTTGAACATTTTATGTTTTATCCGTGCTGTTCAATAAGTGGGCTGTTTTGATTTGGGTTTTTTTGTGTAAATTAAATAAATTGGGAAAATGGATGGATATTAAAAACTAAAGTTACAAGAACGGAAAGTTTTGGTGCGGTGAGGGTTCCGGGGGCGTGTCCTTCGCTGAAATATTACCATGCAGGTTTGGATGCCGAGCACGTGAGGTGTCTCCTAATTGGCGGATAAATCCAATGGGCGGAGCTTCGCCGCTCGTCTATTTAACGCTTTGTTCCGTTGTTGCTGCTTGCGGTCTGCCGCAGACTCCGAGTGACAGCTGTCGCCACTTTTTGCACTTAACCCTCATTTTCCCCTGCTCTTTTGTTTGACAATGTCTGACGGGAGCTTCCCACCTTCCCCGGCCGAGGACGACGGCGGCTCCAAGCGGTTGTCCTGGGGCAGGCTGCTCCAGAGGCTCGGCGAGCTCAAGGGGCTCGCGCACAGGCATCACGACAATACTGACACCGGTGAGTGCTACAGCAAACCCTTTCGTCTCAGAACTGTTGCATGAAGTAAATATCTGTATGTGTTGAAGAATAAATAAAAATACATTTCTATTCAATGCAATGGAACATCACACAAAAAAAACTGGAGGTGCAAAAAAAAAAGAACAAAAACTGAAGAAAATTACATTAAAACACTGTGAATAAAAACTGACCATTTGAAATCAAGTCTTGGGGAAAAAAAACAACTGCTTCACACAATTGCATTTTGTTGTTGGTGCACGCTGTTATCAGGTCAATGCCGTTTTTGTCCAACGGCTTGTCATACTTTGATTCCATGTTTGCGTATGGGGCGGCGCCGTGGGTTAGTGCACCCCGCAACCATGAGGAGGATATACAAAATGTGCCAAGCGGACAGCATTCTCAATGACTCCCCGTCCTTGCTTTTAGGTTCCGTAGCAGACATGTCCACGTGTAATTCCGAGAGCAGCTTGTTCTGTTACCCCTCCGAGGAGACCCTGGCCGCAGAGCTGGTGGCCACCATCGAAGAATCCCTCCACGGCGCCGCGCAGCTCCTGGGCTGCTCCCGTCTCCTGGTGCCCGACTCCCTGCTGGACCACGTGGGCCAGGAGCTGGTGCATCTTGCGGCCAGCGAGCCGTGCGGCCTGCGGGGAGCGCTGGTCGAGCTTTGCGTGGACAGGGGCGAGCCGTGGTCCCCGTGCAGCGTGGGCGAGATCGCCGTGGTCGGCGCGCTGGTGCCAACCTTCCACGTGACCCTGGTGCTCAAAGCCGGGGCGGGCGGATTGTGGCCCGAGGTCCGCAGGTTCTTCATCAGCAGCCGGTCCCAGCAGACGGCTGCGAGGCGCCGACGCTCTCTAAGACTGAGGTCTGGCTTCACGGCCGCGAAGAGGAAGTTGTACTGCTCAGGGGAGCTGCTCATTGAAGAGTGCTCCTGACCTAAGCGCTCCTTGACTAGAAAGTCTCAAATGAACATGCTAAGTGACACTAAGGGCTCTGTCTTTGTAAGTGGCGCAAGAGTGCCGTGGCACAAATCCAGGGGGATCCTGATTTCTGAAAAAGCGCAGGGCTCACTGTGCTGAGTTGAAGGGAATGAAAGGAGCCGCTTTGATTGGCCGTGATGAAGTCCGCCGAGACCGCTCCCACAGCATCGCAGCCCTCCTTCTTGCCGATCGTGTGTCTGCACTCAACTACGGAGTTACCAACATGACGTCGAACCCGCCCCCGCACAGAGTTACAACCACGTGCCGCGCAGGATTTAGGCCGGTCACAAAAATAGAGCCCCAAACGCACAATCCCAGCAACAACGTGTAGTTGGCAAAGGTCCGTCTGTGGCAGCTTCTCGCCTGGCTGGAGGTGAATTTTTTTTCTTTTTTCAATGAAAATGCATGTTAAAGTTGCTTGACAAGATAACTTTGGTATCTGATGGTCAAATCTTACATGTTTTTTGTATTTAAGAAAAATAAATTATTTTCTATGACTTGTCTTGTGTGGTGACTGCTCGAGATGGCTCGGCAATTGTGGACTATTCCCTTTCTTTGCCTTCAAAAAAAGTTACATATTTTTATTGTAAAAAATGGACAGATCATCCAGGTCATTCGTAGATTAATTAGAAATTAAAATGAAAATAAAATGTATGCAAATGATGTAAAATAGTTCATTTATACCAGGTTTTAAATGGAATTCGAATTACTGCTATAAATTAACCACATTATTGAATGAAAGTGAGTACTTTAGGAAATCTGTTAACGGCACAATTATCAAATAACCACTAAATCAACATTTTTTTGTGAGATTAATATTGGAAAAGTACTTTGTTACTTCATTTTTACTTAAGACAGAGAAAAAAGTCCCCAAAGCAATTAATATCGAAATTAGGAATCAATGTCACAAAAATGACTCGGATTCACTCTTTTGTTCCTTAAAAGCCACCGTACAAAGGTATCCTCACAGGACCGCCAACGAGCCTTACGAATCAACTCAAACCGACCAAACGTATTGAACGGCAATTTCAGACAAAATTTATTTCAAAAGAAAACCATCATACAACTCTTCACTTGTTAATTTAATAAATAAGGTTTACCTGTGCAAGATTTTGTTTTTTAACGATCTTGATCCGACGGGCTACGAGCAAAGTCACTTAATAACATTATTAATAAATGATATTACCTTTGATAAATTCTGCACTGTTAAAAAGTCTAGTCAATATATATACACTTGAAAGAACTATAAAAACAAAAGCAAAACTAATGAGCGGCTCAGACGTGTGTCTATGAGAAGGCCGGTTGGGGTTCTCAAAATGGAGAAGAGAGAGAAAAAAAAAAAAAAAAAAAAAAAAAAGGAGAGGGAAAAATCAAAATCTTAGAAGCCGGGTAATGGGTATCAAAGGCAGAGGAGGACCCCCTTCCTTCAATATTGCCATCACAGCAGCATATTAGCATCTAAACAAAGGAGGCAGAATCCCCCACAGCGCAGCCTCTGCGTTTCAAGTGGTCACTCGCGTCATTTGAAGGGCGGTTGGGGTTTTCAAAAAGGGGAAAAAAAAAAAAAAAAAAAAAAAAAAACAGATTAGGAGAGAGAAAAATCACAATCTTAGCAGCTTTGTTTCCTACTCCAAAGGGACGACCTGCGGACCCTCGCCATCCCATAGACTGGCGAGAGGGGAAGAAAAGGTCAGCCGAAGCCTCCTGTTTGTTGTACGCCAAGTCGGTGGTCCACAGGAAGCTGCGGAGTGGTTCCCGGATCAGGTCTGCTGCCCACAGTGCGTAAGGCTTGTTTTGATTCTCTTGGGTTTGCTGCACAGATGCGCTCCGATTTGGGGGGGGGGGGCTGAGGCTACCGATGCGGTCCTCCAAAACGATTCAAGTACCAAAAGGACCTAAAAGAGAGGATATACGCTATCACGTGGCAGTAAAAACCTGAAACGATTATCACCATCACCATCGAGGTGTCCCAACACTTCTGTCCGGGTTCGATCGATTTTTCAAATCAGATTTTTTTGTTTTATGCGTTAATATTTTTCAAACGCAAATTTTTAAAAATGTGTTCTTTTAACATATGTTATTTCGGTCAAATATATTTCGCAATGCTTGATCTAATGATCTTCGATGAGCAATACACACGACATCCTGATTATGAAAGCAGGAAAGTCCCTCGGATCGTTTTTATGACAAATATTCTTGAGCCGTCATTCCGTTTTGTACTAAACTTCAATGTAGGTCAAATGTGTTGTTGCTCACTTCGCTGAGACATCGACACCAACTTGGCTGGCACTGAAGGAAACCGTTTTTATTTCCTTGGCCAAAGTTCGACGGTCACGCGGCGGGGTGAGTCTTCCAACTCCTTTGGTCATTGCACTAAAATGCGTCAGCGGAAATGCGAGTACAGCACGGTTGACTCTCAAGCAGAAATGACGGTGCCAGCGCTTGCAAAACACAGACGCAAACAAAACTGGGCTACATGCTACCGATGGGCAGCAAACGGAGCCCTCAAACCTCTCTCCCTCTTTTCGAACACAAAATGCACATCAAGTCATCTCAGCTCAACAGTGCCAACTCACTGAAATAATGATTCGAATAATTCCGTCAAACAATGAACATTTCGACGTGGTGCTCATCGTTATATATGAGAAGAAAAAAATAAGTTGACAGTGAAATTAGCAAGAGAAAATTTGAGGTCAATCTTCACGTACCCGTAACAGTCCAAACAGCTTCTAAGCGTCCAGCATGACCTGAATCTCGGATAACCGGTTGCAGCTGGGAGTCCCCATCCTCTGCGCCCTCTGGTACAACTCCGAGTCCCCGAAATAGCGGGCGCGATACATTAGGCCTTCCTCTGAAAGCGCAGAACAAGTGTGAGGCGCAATTCTTGCCACGAAAGCCCCGCAGGTCAAGTGCACCCACTCTGCTGCTTCTCCTTCCAGCAGTTGTTCCTGAGGTTGGAGATGTAGTCCTCCTCCACCCCTCTCTCCACATTCTTCAGGTCAGCTCCGCTGAAGTCGTCGTTAAAGCGCTCGCCCACGTAGAAAGGCACCTTCAGGTGGGACGTATGCCTTTTGTGAACGTAACCCGCCGACCTGGCGGGACGGACGACACGTCGCGGGCGCGACTTGAGCAACGTTCGAAACGGACGCCGGCCAGGCCGGAGGCCACGATGCACTTACGGGCGGTAGCTAAGGCTGTAGGGAGGCTGCGTGACCATGAGCTGGCTGAGCGCAGACACCAGGATGAGGATGAGGATGGGCATCAGCTGAACAAACAGAGCCAGGCCTCCCTGCTCAGAAAGAGACGCAACCAAACCATTAGAATGCAGGGAATGCGGCAGCGGAAAAATACCGACCAACTCGGGCAACGACAAGCTCGTACTCTTGTTTTTCGATAGTTCGACATCGGTTCACTGAGATGCAGGTTGATGGAGAGTGTCTGCCGTAGATTTCGGGCCATTGCACCGCGAAGCCTTGGCTTTGCAGCATCGGTGTAAATAATCATGATCCTTTCTTTTGTCACAGCAGTCGTGATTTTATTTTTATGATGTGCATTTAAAATTGGCAAAAAAAAAAAAAAAAAAAAGGCAATTTGACATCTTGAGTACAGCCAGAGTTGGTGACCAAACGCTTAGTTTTACACTGGCAGCCCCTCCGAAGAGGTAAAAAGTGTTTTGTGTCATCATTTGATGTCTATGAGCATTTGTGTTGGTAAACATCGAGTGCAAAACATGAACGGTCATTGCGGATTATCCGTACGCGCTGTGAAATGTGTCTCAGCTGTTACGGTGATTAGGCCACGGTTGTGGATCGAGGGTGCTCACAAAGGAACGGCGAGATCATCAGTCAAGTTTCCTCCTTGTCCGGGAGGGCACGCTACAACCAGGCTGAATCCGATCGAGGTTCAGTACAATAAATAGATGGAGGGGGGAAAGGAAGACTTACATCTCTTTGCTGCTCTCTTCTCTCTTGCCTGTTGTGGTGCGCAAAGTGCATTCTTCCGTTTCTGTAAACATGTACGTTACCTAAAAAAAAGCGACAGGCGAACGGCATCAAGGGGAGAGCGCGGACATTTGGCAGCTGTACTGGTGAGCTACTTTTGACTGACTGGATGGGAAGCCTCCGCCAAAGAACATGTTGAAGAGGTCCTCCGGTGAAATATCGGCTTCAAAGTCACGGTGCTGCCGCTGTCTGCTCGGGTGCGACCTCTCCTCGCCGTACTGGTCGTACTGCCGCCGCTTGTCAACGTTGCTCAGCACGGCGTAGGCATTACCGATGGCTGAAAGGCGCAGGCAGATAAGCGTCATCAACGCTGCACATAGTCGTTACATCGCACTGGCTTGGACCGCCGCCGGTGTACCTTTAAATGCATCGGTGGCTCCGGGCGCGTGGTTTTTATCAGGGTGGAACTTGAGAGCCAGCTTCCGGTACGCTTTTTTGAGATCTTCATCGGAGGCGGTCTTTTCTACCCCCAGGATTTGGTAGTAATCTTTACAGCCCTTAATCCTGCAGGGATGAAACAAATTTGGTGAGCAGATATAACGGCTCTGATTGGTCAAACGCCAGGGCAAGGAATTCTGGCCTTGCCGTGAATATCACGGCTATTTTATCATGATTACAGTGGGTGGCCCTTGAACACGATATTTTAGCGTAACGTGTAGGCTGCTATATTAGGGTTCTATGGGCGTTTGGGCAAAGTCAGTCCGGTAACTTTGTGTTCCTAATCATAATCTTACTTTAACTTTATTATTTTTTTGTATATAGGCTGGACATTTTCTTAATTCTAACAACAAAATCATTTTTTAGATTGACTTTTCCTCGCTTTCTTGCTAACCTCCTAATTATGCTTCTCTCTTTTTCTCTCGAGCGACATGAACATTGCTCACTTGCACAGCTGTACAATTCTTCAATAAATACGCGAACCGAAAGGTCTCGTTTATCCGGACTTCCTGACCGCCTCCATCTGCTCGGCGGTGTAAGGTTTTGTCGATTCTGCGGGCCCCTGCGCGGACGTTTCAGCGTCCTCTCGGTGATGACGGTGCCTCGTGGAGGCTCTTTCTCCGTTAGCCGGTCCGCCGTTCTGGTCCGGGGGCTTCCCATTGTGCGCGAGCGTGTCCAGTAAGTCTGTTCGGGGAGAAAACGACGGCTGTCACCCAAAACCTCACCATTCTAATGAGCCCCAATCGTGCAATGCTAACGGTTAGCGTTGCAATGTGTAAGCGGCGGTCCGCCGTGTGAAGAACCCGCTCTATTCGACTTACTTTGGGCTTGGTCCGTCGGGAACAAACGCTGGGCCTTCTCTAAAAACTTCCTGGCTTTGTCCGGCTGGTTGTTGCTGACTGCGTTCAGTGCGATTTTGATGCAACGCTCCGCTTCGTCCTTGTTTGAGTCCATTGCGACACGGCGGAGCTATTTACTTGACCCAACTCTGGGCGCGGGGTGATGACGTCACGCAAAGGCAACCCGAACTTCAGTCGAAACGTCACAAGAGTGGGACCCCCGCCGGTTTCCGCCACTTGGCCCCCCGATTCCTCTTGAAAGACCTTGACAAGTAGACGAAAACTGTGGCGTGCAACCGCCAGAACAGAAAAGCCGAGAGGAGGCTGCTTATTCAACAGGTGCGTTCGCGGTGTGACCTAAGATCGCATTTCTAAGTCACTGCTGCATCTTTGAGAACCAAGATGGCTTACTGTGGGCCGTTCAATCTTATGAGACGGGTTCCTGTGCGTCTTCGTCGGGAGACCTGTCTGTCTTTTTCATCTAAAGACACCATAGCTGCCGTTCGGGCAACGCACCAACCAGTCAAGAAACGTCAGAGGAAAAGAGACAGGAGGCCCACCTGGGCTGCTGATTTGTCCTGGGAGGACAGGCTGGCCTCAGTGGTCACCCCCCTGTGGAGGCTCACTTATGATGAGCAACTTGAAGTCAAGCAAAAACATCAGGAGAAGATACTGGAGCAGCTCTGCGAAGGCGGAAAGATCACGTTCCCCGTCCTGCCTATCCTGCCGTCCCCAGTTAGGGACGGTTATCGAAACAAGTCGACGTTCTCCGTCAACAGGGGAGTGGACGGGAACCCCAAGACAGTTGGGTTTTACGTGGGCAAAGGCAAGGATGGCAACATTGTGTGCGTCAATGGAGACCACCTTCCCAACATGCCGGAGAAGCACAAACAGGTGGCCAGACGCTACCAGGAATTCATCCGCCGTTCTTCCCTGCAGCCCTGCCTCCTCCTTCACGACGGGGGGCACTGGAGAGAGGTCACGGTGAGGACCGACGCAGCCGGCAACACCATGGCCATCGTGTATTTCCACCCACAAGGGCTCTCCCGGGAGGAGGTGGCGGCCCACCGGGAAGACTTGGCCGAGTTCTTCGCCAATGGCGCGGGGTCGGCTTGTGAGCTGGACTCACTTTACTTCCAGGAGAGCGCCATGACCCGTTGTACGCGTGAGGACTCGCCCTACCAGCTCCTGTTCGGTCACACGCACATTTATGAGCAGGTAATGAACACAAATGAATGAAATGAATGAATAACACACTCATAACAGCGAAGATATGGATTACAGACAGAACATATCCGTTGTCCGATGCTCTTGTCTTTTGGTATTTGGTTTAGCTTGACGACAGAGAGGTATTTTCAAGAAATCGTGCAAGGAAAGCAGTTCCGAATACATTTCTTTCGACTCTCTGAATATTCTTGTTGGATTTTGCCATAGCGGAGGTCCGCTTCATTGTAGCTCAGCTTCCCACCTATCATCAATCACTACTTCTGGAGAGCCAAACGGTTGAATGACTTACACCGCCACTGGATTCATTTCACTAATTTGATCTGATCAAACCACTTCTGTACATTCAAGTGAGTCATACGGTAGGACTTTCGTGGTTGAATTACTCCCAGAAATCAACTTGGAGGTTGACGGATATGCAACTTACTTGTTCCAGCAGTAGCTACAAAACACCACAAGGTGGCAGTGTTTCTCTTCAAACACCTTCCGGGTGTCAATCAACCTTTCAAGTGGGGTCCTTTTTTTTTCATTACACGTTGGTTTAGGTATATATGTTAAGAACCAAACAAAACTTTGTTTTCATAAAGCTCTCGTTCAAAAAATGACCACAGCAGGAAACAGTGCAATACACGGATCAATCATGATGACACTCCCAGTGTATACTGAAATAACTAGCGGTAGCTCTTGACTGTCATTGACAGATGCTGGGCTTCAGCTTCCGCATCTCTCCGGACGCATTCTTCCAGTCCATCACCGAGTGATCCGGGCCTTACGCAGCCAGCCCGCCATCCGCCGTCTGGTCTACGTGTCCTGCAAGTCGGAGGGCGAGGCCATGAGGAACTTCAGGGAGCTTTGTTGTGCACCCGACCCAAAGAGGAAACTCCAGGGGGACGCCTTTTCTCCAAGTCTGGCTGTGCCCGTGGACATGTTCCCTCATACGGAACACTGCGAACTGGTGATTCTGTTTGAGAGGTAGCGAATGACATCTTCCACGCATCGGGATCGGGTCTGCTGTCTCCGTGACAGCTCCACCTCCTTGCCTGTGGGACACTTTGCCATTGCAACCACATATTGGATTCATCCGCTCCCGTACGGCTTTGACTCTTTTGTGCCTGTGGCACGCTTTTGTTTTACACCAAGTCCTGCAGTCAGGCAGTATTTCTCGCTAAAATGCAAACTAATCGTTGTTGTGTAAAAACATACTGTAGCAAGACGGCAAGTGTAGCATAAAAAGCGCTCTGGCGGATCAATAAAGTTTTTACCTTGTTCCCTGTAGTCGGTACTTCTTGAAATGGGAATTCATCCAAAGCTAGCAGTTGCTATGGCAAACCGAAAAAAGACGACAAACCTGATGACAGAAATCACTCCATCAACTAGGAATTGATCAAATGCCAACATGCTCACGGTAACACATGTCAGGGATGAATGGGCGCCACTTGCATGATTTTGGGGAGGGGCCCCCCCCCCATCCTGGACTGCACTTAATTTCCTTGAGTTGCCAGCTCCATTTCATTCATTCTACTAAATTCCCTTTGATGCTTGTCATCGTTTTCAATGCAAATTGCACTTGCTATGGCAAACCGAAAAAAGACGACAAACCTGATGACAGTGATCACCCCATCAAATCGGAATTAATCAAATGCCAACATGCTCACGGTAACACATGTCGGGGATGAATGGGCGCCACTTGCATGATTTCACCAAAATATGGGGAGGGGGGCCCCCCATCCTGGACTGCACTTAATTTCCTTGAGTTGCCAGCTCCATTTCATTCATTCTACTAAATACCCTTTGATGCTTGTCATCGTTTTCAATGCAAATTTACCGACTTCTGCAGTGCACACAGCAGATGAAAACACAGGACACCCAAACAAAGAGTACATGGCTTTTTTTATTGCATTAACTGTAAAACTGCGGCAATCGATCATATAATCCTGTGTGTGTTGTATGCGTGCGTGCGTGCGGGCATTGACAAAGGCATTCCTCATGTTTTAAAGGTGCACACTGTTGTGACTTGAAAGGCTCCTGTGGACAGTGCACAAGTGAAGGCAGGGCATGCGAGGCAGCAGCAATCATGCTGAAAAAAAAAACCCAAAACATTTCAACACCGTCAAGGTAAGTGACATTTGAAAAGTGAAAAATTCCCAAACTCTCAAAAACACATTGTCCCTTAAGGTTTGAATTTCCAATTTCGATATTTTGCACCAGAGTTGAAGTGACTTTAAAACAGACCAGCTGTCAAGAGTACAAAGCATGTCAAAATGGTCCATCCATTGCGTCGTTTATGGTCGATCAACTTCTTACTTCATGGTCAGAAATTAACATTGCGGATGGAAAGAATTCCTCAGTTGAAACGTGTTTTGCTTCCACGCGGTCTTGGACCTCCTCGTTTGAAGAGAATGACATTCTGCGTTTGCCGTGGTGGCCACCAGATGGCGCTAGCTACCATTTCTCCAAAAGTCTGTTCAAATTCTTGGACTCCGGAGTTTTGGGCCGATGCGAGCTGTCGACTTGGGTTACGAGTGAGCTTCAGGCACTCCGCAGCTTCAGAGAGGTGAAAATAGATGTCGCAGTTGAAGTGGAAACTTCATTTCAGGTATATTTGTTTTGTTTGTGCTGTACTCTCAAGACAGTGAAACATTCAAGTGATTGTGCTATTCTAAAAAAAAACAAAAAACCTGTGGAGTGTGTGCGGCATCCTCTGAGCTCTCGCTGGTTAGGTAAGCCTTCCTCAGTTCCTGCTGCTGAAACCGCTGTTCAGGGGAGAGGGAGGGAGAGCTCCAAGTCCCTCTCTAGCCACAACGCACAAACGTACGACTGTGCCCGTGTGTGATTTAACTCTCATGTCGTGGCCGTGACTAAGAATAAAATGAATCCAACTTGTTCGTCGAGGCAACGCTGTCGTGACGTTTTGGTGATGATACATATAAATTGTTTTCCTGCGGCAAACGTAATAAACAGGCACAAACGAGTATTTACAGGATGGACCTGCCGTACTGCAGGTGTCTGCAAAATGTCACATGTGCTTTAAAAAAAAAAAAAGTCAAAGCCAGTTTTCAAAATGGATCAGACAAAAAAAAAAAAAAAAGTCCTCATCTTTAAGCTCCTCCAAATGTCAGCCCATTAACGGAGCGTCACATCCTGGAGACTGAAGCACCGAGTCAGCAGTCACTTCCTGTTACAAACGTTCATTTGTATTGATTTGTGCTGAGCGGCCTGTTGAATATTTGCTCAATGAGTCACCAGATTGCTTTTGGAGAACGATCCGCTTTTGCAAGAGAAAGACGATGTTGCAGGCTCTTTTAAGTTATGAGGGCTAAACTGGGACACCAGGCTGGATGCTCGACAATGTAGCTTTGATGAATTAAAAAAAAAAAAAAAAAAAAAAAAAGCCAGACAGCCTTTCCGGTCAACTTTTAAAGGGAGACTTCAACATCCCTTCCAATGCGGTTGGTTGAGCATCTAACGTGTTCCGTCTTCAATGTCATTGGGACGTGGGAGCAAATATGGTCCTCACTTGAGTTGAGTTGCCCATCAAGTGCTTTGAGGTCACGCCGGGGCAACGCCATTGCTCAGCTTTGGGGGGAAAAAGTCCCATTATGACACAACTGCACATTCGCGGCCATCAGTATTGACAAATTCACATATCTGACCTTTTTATTCATCGATCAAGGTCGTATTGATCTTTTTGAAAATCTTAAAACGGTTGCCATGCGTCACTTGGGCATACCGACTTGCTGATTTTGTGCGTTTTGTCTTATCTGGGCTTTGGCGTCCTACAGAAAGAACCCAAAAGGATGCATGAATGGCGAATGAGGTTTCAATAGGTTTGCGCCCCTCCCACCCCCCAAAAAAAAGGCATTTGGTGAACTTGTGGATAGTGTGCCGCAAGGAGGCATGGGATAGGTGTCCTGGATGTGGTTTGACCATTGTAACCAGCCCCCTCGGGGCGACCCCGACCCACAATGAAAACTCCCCTGATTCAGCGTCATCAGTGAACCAAACATGCACGTTTTTGGAGAGAAGCCGGACAAAATCAAGTACGGGTAGAACATGCGAATCCTCATCGGAAGGCTGGAGATGAAGTCAGAACTGTGATGCAGACGTGCTCACGACCCGTCCGGCACGCTTGAGCTGACCTGAAGTGGCACGACAGGAACACGGAAAGTTCGTCCACGTTGGTCACCTTCTCTAAAAACGAGCTCGCGTTTCACTGTAACGTGTTTGCCAAAAGTGCTCCAAAAGAGCTCGATTCTGATTCCAGCAGAAGATGCGCTTTGGATCGCCGCCGTTTACAAGCATCCGTCGGAGATCCCCGCGCTCTCGGGCCACGGATTGCTGGCTTCCTTCGGGTGGTCCGGCGCAGTCCTTTTGATCCGCGCCTGTAAATGTTCAAGACGAGTGACTCTCCGGTTTCCAACGGCCATCGGCGCGCCCGTCTCCCTCCGGACCGCGTCGCGGCGCTTCGCTTTGCCGCGCGCCGCGCCGTCTTGGGGATCGTTTCTCACGGGTGCCGGAATGCTATCGCGCCGACCCGTCCCGACGGGCGGCGGCTCGCCATTCAGCTGTCCGTCTTTGGCCGGTCCCGCTCGGTCCATCTGCCGCTTGCTGCAGACGGGGATCTTGTTGGCCTGGAGGGAGCGGGCGTAGCTGGAAAACCAGTCCCTCTCAAAGGCGGCCCGCAGCTGATCCACCACGGCGGAGTTCTTCTCCTCCTCGACGCCCTCGGGCCGACCGATGACCAGGCCGACGCCCGCGTTGTGGGTGAACTCGTTGCCCACCCAGTCCAGGTTGCCTGTCAGCAGAAAAACAAGCGTTTCGGTGGCCGTTTACCGCACACGCGTTTATCGCGACTCGCCGATTGCGGTCCTGCTATATTCAAGTGCAGAGCCGGTTCTGATCTATGAGTTGGAGAGGGCTGCTGGCTGCCCACCCCCCCCCAAAAAAAAAGCTCAACTCTTTTTGTGAACACCTTTGTAACAAGAAGCGGATGAAATGAACTCGACGATGCAAACGATGTCGAATTGCTTTCTTGACTGACTGTAGCGTGTTTCAGGAAGCGGACGAATTTGAAAGTGGGCCTTTCATCCTTGCATTTTCGTCTGTATGCGGCCCGAAATGAAAAAGTTTGGACCCCCCCCACCCTGCCATTTGCGGTCGAGGCAATGGCACGTCCGGCTTTGCTTTCCCTGCTACGTGCTCGTCGGGCATTGTGACTTTGTGTGATGGGCGAGCTTTTCTACTTTTGGAAGGAGAGCCCAGAGTGTGAAAACAAAATGAGCCGCACGTCACCGAGACTATTCGCCATTTCATTTTCTTCCGTACCACTTTTATTTGAGTGTTTCAAGACGCTAGCTTTCTTCTCTGGCTTGGACGAGATGCAGTCGTTTTTCAGCTCAGAAAAAAAAATACACAAAACACAACCCCCCCCCCCCAAAAAAAAAAGTAAAAACAAGTGACATCATGAATGCGTGTACCTAAATAAATGGCTCTGTCTGTCACCATGAACCTGTTGTGGTTGATCCCCCGGAGACTGCCGTCCCGCTGCACTCTGGGGTTGAAGAACTTCTGCACGTACACGCGGGCACGTTACAACGCGGCGTTTTATCACGGCTGCCGTTTGAATCCGTCGGAGTCGAAACTCACGGCTTCGAGCGAGCAGTCGGCTTGCTCCATGCACAGACTCCGCAGAGACCACACAAAGTTGAACGTCAGCGGATGGGTGTTTTCCCAGCAGCTTATCAGCAGACGCACGCGCACCCTCCTCAGGATCAGAGCCTCCCGGAGCAAGCCGTCAATCCGAGACCAGTACCTTGGGAGCGTCGACACGCGCGTCAGCTCGCGACGGATCGGGGGGGGGG